AATTAGTCTTGAATCAAGAACAGATATTCTCGTATATAAGCAAGAATATCATAATCTCCTTAGGAGATTTTTATTCTTGATTTAAGACTAATTTTTTTCTCGTATACAAGTTATTCCCTCTTTAACCTCAAAATAATGTCGAAATTAAAGTCATGTTTATAATAAATAAAGTATAATATTAACCTTGTTTTTCGATATTTTACCTTTATCATTTTTTGAATGTATGTGTTCCTGCTACACTTTAATTCGTATCTTCATTTTAAGGGGCCTGAAAACCAATGAGAAGATGTCTACGAGTTGCCCGAATCTATTCTAGGAACACTATTATTCAGCAAACGCCAACTAACACCAACATCAATGTTATAATTTCCCGCTCAACAATGCAACTATTAACAATGCAATTATGTAACACACGCGTTATATTGCATTTACATTGTTGAGTGAGAAATTATCGATATTATTTCGCCGTCGATTGATGTGTTTGCTGAGTACGTTTGATGACCGCGTGAGACATAGCATCCAAGAATGTCTGTGGGGGGATCCACGATCGATTAATAATTCCGCTCCGACGTAAGTACAACGGGAAGTACAACGAAGAGATTTCCGTTTCGGGAAAACGCACTTTCCGAGAGAATCGAAACCGCCTGAAGCGCTCCGCGAAAAATGCGAGGGGAAAGTTCGCCGAACGCGCGCATTAATCTTCGGTGCGGAGAACTTCCTGTATCGCATGCGGCGCGTTCCGAGGAAAAATTTCAATCGTATCATGCGACAGACAAAGGGAGAGAGAAATACATAAACGCAAATGGGAGCGACACGGAGATCTGTAGCGGGCCACGTGCGACCTGGCGTATTGCGCAACGCGCGGCTAAACACGTGCCCGTGACAACATGCTCTCTCTCTCTCTCTCTCTTTTGCGAGCTGACATTCCCGGAAAATTAGGTGACATCGAGAGATAAGATTTCCTCGGAAACGTCGATTGATAATGACGACGGAGATACTGCGGAGATGCGCATTCGGAAGAGCGACTACGCGCAGTTGGCTGATGTGTTTTTCCTGCTTGGTGCGCGCGTGCGTTTCAATCGTGCGCAACAATAGCGACACAACGGGCTTATATGAATAGAGGTCGCGTGGTTCTAAATCGAGTCACCGATGCGCGGCTTTAATTCCGCCGTGCGAAGCGCGGAGTGTCGCACGGGCCCTTCGATTTCATTTAACGACGAGCTGTTTAACCCCCTCGGAGCTCAATGGAGATTGATATCGCTGGATGCGAAAATTCCTATCCGCAGACGCGTGTGTAAAAAGGTAACCTTTGTTTATTTATACGGATTCAATGTCTTACGTACCCCGAGAAAAATCTCCGTCGGATAAACCGATTAAGCGATACGCCCGATTGTTATTTTTTGTTCGGTCGAGTGACGGATATCTTTATCCGATAAAGTGTCCGATGAAGTTGCCGATGCAGTTACCGATGAAACCTAATCGGGAAATCAATAAGTGTTATATTTACGTCAAGTTGGGAAGAGTCGAAGTCGACCGAAACGTGTTTCGTGTTATTGTACACTGCAATGACGATGTATGATCGTTACATCGAACGTATTGTTTATAACATGATTTTTTTTAATTCATTGGCACTGTAAGAACCGCGCTCGGCTTTTATACGGTCTTGTATCGATTATTTGTTTTCTAATCGGCAAATTACTCATCCTTTGTATATCGGTTGCAATTGTCATCGAATAAAGGCATGACTCGGCCGGATGACAAAATGATCAGACATTACAAGCAGTCGGATACATCATCCCTTTCTTACTTTCTCGTCGGATATGATCGGATAATATTTTTCTCAGTGTACGTTATAATTAATTTTTCTGCGAGCCGGTCGCTGTTTTAGAGCGCTCCATTCGTTATCTCCGTTTCCATTTTGCACTTTATGTCGCGGAGACTCCGCATTTCCACCTGTTTTATTATTAAAAGTTATTACTAACGTTGGAGAAATTCGACAGACCGCCTCCGTGCGTCCCACAAACTGCAACATTCCCGTTTCAATGAGCTCATCCTTAAATTATATCGAGCCAAGTCATCGTGCGCGCTCGGGTGAGTTTGTATCGCGCCGATACGTCACGTACGATGATTTTCGGAATAAGCGGACGTGGCGTAATACAGGTATACGCGAGATATGTTCACCCAGTAGGAGGAGGAGGTATATTCACGCGCCGTACGTGCCGTTGTGTTTCTATCTGTCTCGGCGGACGCGCGAATTACGCAACGCCACGCGCGCGCATCATGACGTTCCGGCGGAAAATCCGCGCCGGTGATCGCAGTTTCGCGCGCGAGTTGCGCGATGATGATTCGACGAAATTATTACCGGCCGATTTCGTGATTCAGTCTGTATCTCTCTTTCTCGTTTATTGTCACGATGACGCCCGACGCGTAATCGCGCTCGCGAAACGCTCCGAATCATCGCGACGGAGGCGTGTGAGCTACGTCGCGCGTCAATTACGTTTCTCGTTTCTCATTTGCGAGATAACCCCGCCTGTTACACGGACGAGAGAGGGAAAAGAGTTGCATTACGGAATCGGAATCAGATGACGACGATGCGACGGCGCGTTAACGCGAAAGGTATCGTCGGGATTGCGCAACGTTTCGCCATTAGTTATATATATGCACACACACACACACGCGCGCGTTGGAATTTAATGGGCGTTTATTTCCGTGGACGGCATCTTTATCGGTGAATCGGATTAACATGGTAAAGTTGCACGCGCGTGCATTGACGTCACGTCGATCCGTCAGAGCCGTCAGTGCGAGCCGCGGTTTGAATATTAGAAATTGCCTTTTTAACGTGGCTTCTCATTCCTTTCGACGTCGTCGTCGTGTCATACCGGCGCCACTTCGTCATCGCGGACTCGTGAATTATGCACGTTAAGGGTATTAAGGATGAATCACTAGTCGCTGATTCCACGTTCTTAATTTAATTCCAACTAACCGGAATCTCTTCTCGCGAAAGCGAATAATTTCGCGCGAACGCGCGACGGACGTGGCGCTCGCTCGCTCGTTCTTTCGTTCGTCCGTCCGTCTGTCCATCCGTCCGTCCGTTCATTCGTTCGTTCGTTTAAAGATCATGGCTCATATCAGCTCTGACGTACAAATTTCTTCGACGCACTTCGAGACGCAATAAGACCGTCCAATGAGGAAACTTGATTTTAGGAAATTGTCAGAAGATAAATTTTCTCTCTTAGATCTGCGTTACACAATAAATTGTATGTCGGAATCAGATGTCGCAACGCAGCCGATGGTCCAATAAGAATATTTCTCTTTTGAAATCGTGTTCTCTTGTAGGAACGTTGGCTGTGTTACGACTATAGGTTTTTAAAATTTCGGAGAAAAACTAATTTTTTTACCAAATTTTTCGCGGACTTCCTCGTTTTCTGTCCCAAGCGTGCGGAAATCCGTTTGGAAAGATTCACGTGTGTTCGGTTAAAAGCTGTCAGATTTAGTTTTGTTTCGTAAAGAAGGTGGGAAATAAAAAAAAAATCCGCAAAAAAATTGGGAAATACGGGATTTTTCGAATATTTAAATACCGCACAGTAATAAACACTTTGTACTTGTGTTGAAATCGGTCCTTATTGAAACTTTCGTGTTAAGTTCTTCACATTGTTAACACCTGTATGTTAATTTAACATATTGTATTTATATTATCTCAATATATATAATTTGTGTTGAATCGGTTTTCAACGTGTGTAAGTGTGTAAGTGTTAAAATCATATATTTTATACCGCGATATCGACCTATCGATATTAACCTATTAATCTTGTGTTAATTTCTAACATAATATTTGTGTTACTTTTCAACATATTCATTTTCCCTCCACCTAACACAAAAATTTCGACCTTTCGGGACACATAAAATGTGTCAAATTAACGCAAAATTTTTTACTGTATATATTTCAGACTTATTGTGTAGCAGGTCTTGTCGAACGTCGTCAAGCTCTCCCCAGTCAGCTCGAAAAAAAAAAAACGCGTGTCACTTTCATGGCCACGATTGCATGGTCTCGTTACAGTTATCCCCCGGATTTCCTCGTGGAAGCGATTGCACGTGTGACGATCTGAGAAGGCGGAAAGACGACACACACCGGGACCGTGAAACGACGGAAATCCCCGAGGCGATTTCCGATCGCGCACGACCGCAATTTCATCAATAATTTATCCATTTCACCGCCGGCCAGGACCGGCTACGTGCGCCGCCTCACGCACGCCGTTCACCGCCGTTATTGCAAAGGGAGGAACAGCAGAACGTGATTCCCCCGATCGCAACACGTGGCGGACGTCACGTGGCGCGCGCACCGCCGCGTTTCCGCGTGCGTCACGCGACGCAAAACGCGTCTGCGCGTTGTTTTGTCGTCTAGAATCACGCGTGGAACCGGCCGGATCGGCCGGGCAAATGGAAAACGATCTATCGCGTTAGTCGCAACCGGTTGTTTGCGCGATTCGCGTCGGAATTACGTCGGTCGATGGCGCGCTTACTACGCGCCTTCCTTCACTACGGCGGTCAACAATGTTGTTTACGCGCTTAATTGGCCGCCTCTCGGTGGGATCACAATAGCCAATATATATTTAAGTGCGAGAGACGTATTTTTTTTTTCGTTCGCGCCAGGATTTAGATCGGAGGAAGGTGCGCACGAGCGATCGAGCGACGACGGTATGTGTGTCGCGTCCACAAAGGTGTGAATCGACGCTTTAAATAAACGCGGCTTCACGTCCGGGAATTTACGAGTGACCAGGATATTTCGGGAGAATCTCGAAAACGCAGAAACGGGGGAGAGTCTGTCGTGTTTCGCTCGCGTGGGCGAAAGTGCGCTGATTTTGGACCCTGCGCGTGTGTCCGTCCGTCTGCCCGTCCTTCTGACATTTCGCGATATACCGACGAGTGCAACGTACGTAGCTCTCGTTCCGATCCGGGAGCTCTCCTCGGCGATATTTGTTTTTTTACTCCACTTGGTACGTATAACACGAACGGCTGGCTTCCTCCTCTTTCATTTTTAATTTTCGACGGAAAAACGGCTGGAAATTTCGCAACTTTCGCTCGCGAAAGCCCTCCTCGCTTTAAACGATACGTCATTCGACACGACACCTGATACATTCGCGTGTTTTCCTTCGAAGCGCGACCCGATAGCGCCTCGATTGACTCGCGTGGGTGGTTGCCGCACGGGGAAAATCGCTAGCTCGCGCCCCTTCTCTCTCTTCTCTCTCGCCTCCCCCCCCCCTCCCGGCTTCGTAATATGAGTCACGCGAAATCGCACACAATTGGGAGAGGGGACTGGAATTCAAAGGGATTGCTCAATTTCGACAAGGTTTCGTGATAATTCGTTACTCGTGCCGTACACGCACGCTCATGGGCTCGCTGATATATCGAAGGAAACCCGGCGACTGCCTGTGGACTTTCGATAGCCGGTCGGGTCCTGTCGTAATGTATGTTCTGCAGCAGGAAGAGAGAGAGAGAGAGAGAGAACGTTCTCCGAAACTTCCAGTCCTTCGAGATTCCCGCGTAATCAGGGAATTGCGCGACCCCGCGGCGGAAACTTGTTAGGTGGAGAGAATTATGGATGTTTCCTTAATTATGGATTTTCGGTCTTCGCTCCGTTTGATTTTTCTTTAAGAAAGAGATTTTATCGAATTTATTTATGTTTATTTGATTCCGGTTTATTTAATACATGTCGTTTGTAGAATCAAACATTCGTTTGTCTGCTCTGTTCCAAAGGACAAATTTGATTGGATTAAACAAATTTTCATCAAATTCAAAGAATCTACGTGGGAACTCTCATACACGTGATAAGGACAGATAATGTATGGAAATTAACCTCATTTAACGTCACGATAAGAATCTAAACACAATAAAAGTTTAATTACGAATTCATTATGCGTGCGTGCGTCGATATTAGAATGATACTAAAAATTAACAACCGTTAACGACATTATATACGAGACAGGAAATCAAATGCAATCAGTTGCTGGATAAGCAGTATTGCGTGGCAATTAAACACGAGTCACACAGAAAGCTCGGAAAACTGAGCCCGGGGTTTTATACGATACGTATCGTATAAAAACTCGACACGTCATCGAGTCATTTTCGGATATCCCGCGTGGTAACACGATGAAACCGCATGACGAAACATCGGTGTGCCCTCTTCTCCCCCGGCGCCTCTTAATAGAAAAAAAAAACAACGAGTCACACCGCGGCCCAGTTGATGAGAGCCGCTGTTGCGGCGGAATTAATGACTCAGTCTCTTCCGAAACTTCTGAAAAAATAGGCGATTGTTGCGTAAGTCGGATTGAATAACCGCCCGCACGTGTCACCGTGCGTGTGTGAGTCGTGCGATTTCCATATCGGCATTCCCCCGAGATCTCAGCTTCTCCCGTGAGTAGTTATCCCCCGAAGTGCGGAGGGATCCCGCGAACGTTTCGGCCGCGGTGTCAGTAAACTCGCCGGTATTTGCGACCGACTGTTAGCTCGCTAAACGCGAAGGAACACACGGAGAGTACCTCGCGTGTGCGAGGCTCTGTTACGTGTCGCGCGCTTCACCTGGGGATCCGAGGGACGTAACGGCCTCGCCGTTAAATCGGTGGAACGCGACGAGGTCGCGAGTGCACGTTTCGAGACGCCAGCGACGCCCCGGGCACGTGATTAGACAAGGTTCACGCACCACGGCGGCCGTGGCGTGTGTTTGCGCGAGGATGATGGAAAACTGGACGGAGCTTCCATAAACGGTACGTGCCCGTGGAAAACGCATGTCGCCGGACCGGCGTTTACGTAACGCGCCACCGCTGCATCTCCCATGTGCTCTCCGTCTCTCGGCGTCGCGCATAACTCTCGGAACGCTCGACGATCGCTGCGACACACGCACGTCGCACTTCCTCGACTTTGTTCTTCCCAACTTCGAGTTCGCGAACGATCACGAGCGAAGATCGCTGTTTTTATCTCGCCGAGATTATTTTCCGTGCTTACGTCAATTATGATGTAATGTTGTAATCGGCAAAGACCAGGCGAGCGGGGGAGAAGTGATTGCGTGTGTATTATGCATATTTCGTTGGTTTGTTGCGAAATATATACGCGTGTACGTATGATATGTATACATATTTCGCAATAACAAACGAAAGCGAGACGCGTATTTCAATATATATACGGAGAAAAAGATTCTTTGGATTTAATAATGTTTCCTTGATTGAGAGGAATTTGTCCTTTGGAACACACTAGTGTTTGATTTAACAAAAAATATAAATTCCTTTAACGTTAAATAACATTTTTTTATGTTTTCATCCAAGTATTACAATGGTTGTCACAGCAATAAACTATTTGAAAGAAGTAACATTATGTTAGAAAAATATTGAAAAACCTCCTTGCCTCAGTGGAACAATATTTGTATAATGAAATAAATTTTTTTTATCGGAAGCCAAATATATTATTTCCTCTAAGTAATACTATTTTTTCTACTAAAAAGCATTTTATGCGGGTTTATTCTAAACACGTCTTTATTTAAACAAGATGATATTTGATATTAAATCACATCGTTTATATTAAACAAATCCAAGGGTCGAACAAACACGTGTACTAAATCCGAGGAAATTTTTTTTCTCCGTGCACGAAGTATCTCGAGACGCGAAATTTTTATTTTTCCTTCAACGAGCGAGCCCGAAACGGAGTTGCGCAGAAAAACCCATAGATGTACGCGTACGAAGGCCTTCTCTTTTCGTAAAATATTATTCCACCCGAGAAATCGCTCGTAAGGCAAAAGAGGACCGCTACGCAAGACTACGCGCGAGAGTTATGTAAAGAAACCGGCGGTTGCAGAATGTTGTTTTACGCAAAATAGTCTTCAGATTGAAGAAGCAAAAACGGGAAAAAGAAGAATCGATGAATGTGCAAATTCCTTATCTTTCGCCGTTAGAAAATTGTAAAATATCTGCTGTATGTAGTAATCTTCGGGCGCGCGTCTCGCCGGCCAGGTTTCTTTTAGTCATCGCGCGGCGAGTATCATTATGAAGTCAGAAGCGTGCTGGATTATCGAAGACGGCCGATAAAGATGCGGTTGACGCGTTCTCGCTTACAAAATTATCCCGGCACGTTTTACGTAACGGGACTTATCTCTGTTAAAAGTGGATTCTTTACAGAAGCCACGTGCGCTCCGTACGATCGACCGAGCGAGAAATATACCATTAGTCTTGCGCACGTGAAATTTTCCGTGCAACAGATCTGGAGAGAGAGGGGGGGGGGTGTTTATGCGTGTGCATCTCCGCGCACACGTAATTAGTACGTGTGCGCTAATGCGCTTCGCGGACTCTGATCTTGTGCAATAAATATCGAAAGTCGGGTAAATACGTGTCTCTCAGCTAGCAGCAACGGCACAGCGGCGACGGGGCACGGTTTCCGACATCCAGAACGGAACACGTGGAGCGGCTCCGCGAGCGCACGTGCGCGGTTGCGTAACCAAGCGGTGTTGCGCGCCATCGGATTAAAGCTTACGTCGAAGGCGAGGCCGGAGGCGGAGGAGAAGGAGGTAGCGGAGGCGGCGCGGAGTATTTTCATCCGCGATCGCGGGTTAAAAATAGCCGATCGCGGATGGAGGAAACGAACGCTCGCGCGGGGCACTTGATCGCGGACATCCAACGGCCGATAGTCGCGCGCGGATCGGGAAGAGGAGACGGAGAAGGGGGAAGAGGAAGAGAGAGAGAGAGAGAGAGAGAGACGGCTTAATTATACGAGTGCTTCGCGAGTCACGCTACCGGTTCGATATTTCCGCCGTTGGGGAATCGGAGAATTTAATTAAAAAAAGGGGAAAAGAGAGAGACAGAAGAGAGAGAGAGAGAGAGAGACGGCCGTTGCCGCCGTCGTAGAAGCGCTAATTGGCGTACCGTCGATCTTGGGCGCGACGCGCGACGCTTCGATTTCTCGCGAGGGCCAATTAGAACCGGCGGATGTGAGCGTGCGAAGATTTATACCGCTAACGATCCACTTCGTCTTATCGTTAGATTTTCTTTCTCTACGGATCTCCCGGCGATTTCTTCACTTTGTCTCGCTTCGGTTGTCTCGTTAACCCTCACCTTTCCCTTTCTTTTGGTACCACCTAGTTCATTTATTTTACATAATATCTATTGTGTTGCAAGACAATTCCTTTCGGAGGAATCGGGGGGATTTCTTGAGGGGGAAAAAAAAACTGCCGATGGTCTGTCCAGATAGCGGCGGCAGCTAAAAATTCTCGGAACGACGTCATCTCGTAAATCGCGAAGTTAAATCGAGGCGAAGCGCCGAAGGCGCGAACAAACGCGCTCCGTCCGCCGGGTTCACCGACTCCTTCGACCTTGGCGAGCACGACCTTACTCAAGGCTATTTTGCAACATCTCGCGCGCTCCTCGCCCGTTGGCAGTGCGAACACGTCTCCCGAACTCTCGGCATTCTTTAACTTTAGCCGCTCGCTCTCACGGCGCTCTTCGCTCACCACACTCGCGTACACGCCTACCCGAAACCACCGTCGTTCTCGGGACCGTCCACGAGTCGTAAATCGATGTGCGCGATCTTGCGGCCATCGTCATCTCGCAAACGGTAAACGATAGATGCAAACCGACGAACTTGTTGTTAATTAGCGATCGACGAGCAACAACGCGAGCTTCTCAATCGTCGCCTCTCTTTATCAAAGTTCGATCATAAGCAACCTTTCCCCCGCGCGATCCGATCGTTAGACAGTAGCCGCTCATCTTGCACTCTCTGACGTGTACCATCGCCGTCGCCTGGCACGCGACGCGACTTTCGTCATCGCCGCTAATAAGCGCGGCGGCGGGTTGCAACGTCGACTCGCGTGTCGCGCTCACGTTTACCTTGTATCCGCCGGCCGAACCACCCGCTTTCTCACTCTCGAAATTTCGTGGAGTGAAGATACCTCGCCATCCTCGGGATCGCAGGAGTGTGAACGTTTCAGTCTTGTTGCAGTGTGAATGCGCTTCCGGTGACGGAGCGCATCAGATTCACTCCGCAACTTGGAACGAAGACATTCTCACTCGACGATTCGGGGTGGATTCACTCCCCGCGTGAGCGAAAAGTTTCGACTTGGAGCCGCTCTACGCAGAGAAAAAGATTTCTTTGGATTTAACTTGAATCATAAACACTGGAGTCGGACCCCAGCCGACTCGTGTTTTCATCGCGTTTCTTTTGATATTTTCAATAAAATAAAATAATTATGCGAACATTTGCGGTCATTATTTTGCATGATTCTATTCTACAGATTTTAAATATATTCGCGATTTTTTACAGATTTTTACCAACACTTACAAATTTTAAACAAGCGTGTTAGATTAAGATGCCGAGAAGATGTGTACACGATTAGAGTCGATTGAATTTCTCTAATCGAAGAAAGTCGTGTTTTCGAAGCAAATAAAAAAAAATGTTTGACTCAACAAACACGATTATTCGGTATTTTTCACGCAATAAGTACATCTTCGCGTTAAATAACATATTTCTTCTGTATTTTCATTCAAACATTAAAACGCCTGTTGCAAACCATAAATTATTTGAAAAAAAGTAACATCATGCTAGAAACATATCAAGGAACTTCTTAATATATAATAAAATAATGTTTCTTATATATTGAAAACCGCATATTATTTCTTCTGCAAATAATACCGTTTCTTCTATCAAACACTCATTCACTGCGATAAAATATTTTCGTTCAAAGAATACAAATATTTCACATTAAATTATCCCGTTTATATTAAGCAAACCCGAGTCGAGCAAATACGTACGGCAAGTCCAAAGTAACCTCTTTCTCCGTGTACCTTCCTAGCGAACCTCCCCTCTTCAGAAAACGAGGCAGCGACTCGCGCACGGCTTCTCGCCTTTAACACGCGTTTCCACGCGCAACTACTTCTTCGACTAACACATTCTCTCCCTTCGCTCGGTTACAGATGTACTAAGAGAACGAATTATGGTGGCAGAGTTTGTCGCCCGCCAGAGTGGATCGCCCATCAATGGTGAGACCGCGTGCCTGAACAGCAGCAGCATGCCGGCCACGCACACAATGGCGCACGGCGGGCACGGTGGCCACGCCGGGCACGACGCCCACGGACCCTTGCCGCCCCTGACCCATCCCGGCCACCACGGTGGGCCGCCGGCGCTCCAGCAGCAGCATCAGCCGCAGCAGCAGCAACCACCACCGCCGCCTCAGCAGCAGCCTCAGCCCACCCACCACCATCACCATCACCAGGCGCAGCAGCAGCCGCAGCAACAGCAGCCGCCGCCGCCGCCGCCGCACCACGACTCGCCGCATCACCCGGATTACAATTCGCAGAACTTCGACATCAGGAAGGATCTGTTCACGCAGCGCAAGCAGCGCGAGTTCATCCCGGACAACAAGAAGGACGACAGCTACTGGGACCGCAGGCGGCGCAATAACGAAGCGGCGAAGCGCTCGCGCGAGAAACGCCGCTTCAACGACATGGTGCTGGAGCAGCGGGTGATGGAGCTCAGCAAGGAGAACCACATACTGAAGGCGCAGCTGGAGGCGATACGCGACAAGTACGGTATATGCGGCGAGGCGATCATCAACCCGGAGCACGTGTTGGCCGCGTTGCCGAGCGAGCCGACGATCAGCGTGAAGCGGGCGAAGCTGCCGACCCCGGCGGCCCTCATCTACACCCGCACGCCGAGCCCGGTGCACACGTCGGTGATCCACCAGCCGGTGAGCGGCGCCCGGTCGCCGAGGTCGCCCGCCTCGCAGCTCTACGTACCGGAGACCACGGCTTACCCGGAGACCGACAGCTTCCAGTACCCGTACTCGCACACGACGATGCACCTGGACACGTCGAGCGCGCTTAACCTGTCGCGCGGTCGCAGGGCGCAGTCGCCCTTCGAGCTGTCGTCCGGCAGCGGCGACGAGGGCCCCCAGTTGGTGGTCGGTGGCTCCCAAAACCCGGCCGCCAACAACAGCCTGCCGCACAAGCTGAGGCACAAGTCGCGCATCGGCGACAAGGACGCCGCGAGCGCGCTCTTGGCCCTTCAGGGCATCAAACAGGAGCCGGGCGCGCGAGCGTCGCCACCGTGGGACAACGAGGGCTCCAGCGACGAGCGCGACTCCGGCATCTCGCTGGGCGCCGAATGGACAGGCTCGAACGTGCCTGCCGTCTCCGACAGCGACCGCGAGGTGAAGCTGAAGCTCGACCGCCTGGCGTCCGAGGTGGCGTCGCTACAGTCGATATTCCGCTTCGGCAAACCCGTCACGGCCTCCGACAACCTGGTGGCGGTGCACAGCTTGGCGCCGAACGCCGCGGCCGCGGTCAGCGGACCGTGAGAGAACCTTTGTCGCTGGACTGCTCCGGCTGGACGCCGAGGTTCCTTGGCAAATTAGACACGACGAGGAAGAGGAGGGTCGTCGTCGTTTGAAGCATTCGATGCACCGGCGGGCCCCCCCTGGATCCGCGCGGAAGAAGTCGATGACGTTGAATGTAGTAGCGTTCGAGATCGATCGCGAGAATTCTTTGTTTCTTTTCCCGAGGGCAGATGGGTAGTAGTGATCGGCTGACCCTCGACCGGTGGATCCACCGGCGATACCTGCGAGTCACGTGACGGCTCTCTCGCCCGAATCGAATTTTACGCTGAGCTTTGCGCATCCCGATTTTCTCCAGATTTTTGTTTTTGTTTACCTTTACCAGACTTGTGTTGTATATATTTTTGCGTTTCTTAGAGGAAGTGTATTATTAATATATAATGAATTGGCGGAAAAGAATCAAATAGCAATTCGAGACTTATGTATTCTAATGGACGAAATTATTGTTTCATATATTAACAGAAATGTGCTATTTTCTTTCAAAAATTAACATTCTCGAATTCGGACGATATTACAATGTTATCGCAAGATTATGATAGTCCACTAGAAATCATAATATGATTATTTTGAAAGTAATAAATCTTAGACGTTTTAACCAAATTATATCGAAAAGATTAATGTATTATTTTGAATAACTCTATTATTTGAATCGAACGTATGTTAATCTTCTATATTTTTAGTGGAACTATATTTCTTCGTGTAAGCAAGTTTCATCTGTTCGACTGTTTATATAATATCGTTTCGATGAACAACACGTTGAGAATACGGATTTTCTCGAAGCAAGAATGTTCTTGGTTTTCCGTGCGGGAGGAAAGTATTTAAACTACTTAATCGGATTACCGATTTTTCCTCTTCCAAGCGCACGCGGGGGAAGAATTGTGCCGGTGGATTCTAGTCGGGCGTAATTGTCGACGATAATTTCACTGATATCGCAAGGTGTACTCGCGAGTTCGCGGCTGAGATTATTACCGATCTACCCTCGCCGCGAGATCGAGCGTCAACGTCCGCCGAACATCGCGGCGAAATGCGGGACGCACTCGCAGCATCTTGGATCCCGCGACGCTTCGGATCCTCCGACCGGCTGGACCGCCGGGGACTCTCTTCCGGAACCTTCGCGACCGTTCCTCTTCGTTGAAAATTTGTAACTTATTGTGATACGTCGGACAGGTGGAGTCACACAGATTCCCCCGTTCGCGGAGTTCCCGACTACGAATGTGCGTGTGTACCTGTGTGTGTGTGTGTGTACGTATGTATGTATCGTCGTTGGCGGTCACATCCGGTCGAAGGCTCGGAATGCGATTTTGTCTCCACTTTTCTACCGAAGCGGGCCGGTAGGAGTTAAGAGCGGCGCGATTACCCGAGTAGCGTTCGTAAGTTGTACGTTCTAAGACCCGTAGGCTAATCGTTCTTCTATTATTCATCATTTATACCGTTACTAGAGCGAGGTTTGTTGATTCGGGCAGTCGTATCGCGGCGAGGCGAGCCGAGCCAGGTGTGTGTCTTGAGTGGTGGCGAGCCATCACCACGATCTGCGTGCAGGAGCGTGTGAACAATCAGCGTTACCGTTTAACCACCCCGAGAGCTTTTACCCCCCAATTGATAATTGGTCGTGCAACCGGCTATCTCACTACCGTCTCCGACATACCGTAACGATTCCACACCGAGAAGAAATTCGGTCGAATTCACCTGAATAATGAACCAACCAAATAAATCTCGGTCGAAGAAAACGGAATTTCCGGTTACGAAAACCCGAGTATGGTCCGCGAGGACTGGAAATTCCGTTTGCCTCGGCCAAAACGCCTTTGGATCTGTTCACCGATGAACAACATTATCCGGAGAAATTTTGGCAATTGTCAGGTAAATTCACAACCGAACTTTCGTCTCCGTGCATTCCCGCGTATGGGAATCCTTTCTTCTCGTTATTAGTCTTCTCCCCCTTGTCTTTTCTACCGTCGTCATCGATCATCCTCTCCTTTCTTCTTTTTCTTCTCCTCGTCTTCTTCTACTCGTTCTTCTTCTTCGCGATTGTTACACGTAAAGCGGCGAGCGACGACGACGACGACGACTTCGCACGGTGGAGCTTCGAGAGGCGAGGCTCGATCGCGTCTCCCAATTATTTATTTATCGCCAAAAAGACCGAATTTTCGAGTCCACTGTCAATCTTCGATGCTGATCTTTATCCTTGTGTACTCCTGAGAGAACAATATTCGCGCGGAATTTCGAAGATTTCGGTGCCTCTCGCCTCGAATTCGCCTCTCGTCTATCTAATTCGCTCGTCATCGGGAGTAGGGCCGCCGCGAACTCCCGCGAAGCTCCACCGCTCTGAAATTCTTCATTCTCTTGGGCGCGAAGTCCGCTCTCTCGGAACGATCTATAATTCGCGACACACACGGACGGAGTGTGAGATACTCTCCCGGAAACTTTCGGCCAGCCAGAATTACTCATGGATGCGCGCGTCGATGGATCTCCAAATGTTCTCCGCATTACACGACGACAACGCGAAATTAGACAGATGGAGTGCCGTTTCGAATTATAGATCGAGAAGAGCGAACTCGAGTTCCTTATTGGTCCGGACTCGATTAAGAAGAGAGAGAGAGAACAGCGAGGCTGCGCTTCGACGTTCGCGACGTCGTATCTCGTCGCGACGTTCGTTCTCGCCCGACTTTGCGCGACTGTCTCCTTTTTATACTTTTGCTATCAATTATGCTACGGCGTAGTAGCATCGTGTCTGTATATATGTACATGTATAAATGAAACGAAAGTGCATCTGTGTTACAAAACGCCGGACGAGAAAGAGAGAGAGAGAGAGCGCGAGCGCTATTCTGTCGATTTTAAGTGTACAATATTTTCGCTGCGGAAAATCTCGGATGGCGGAATTTAGTGTTGAAGTATTAAGCGAGCCTATATGTAATATATATACATAGCATATATATATATACTTACAAGAAATATATATATATATATATATACATATATATATACACTCGGATATACATATATGCATATATTTTTCAAATTAATGTATTTTTCGATATCATCATTGAAACGAACTCTGTATGTAAACGCGTGTACAGCGCTCGCGATTATCACGGACTCGAAGGAACTCAAGAGAGAGAGAAAGAGAGAGAGAGACGCTCGAGAAAGAAGAACGATGGAAGTCGTCGGTCACAGCGGAAGTATCGGCAGTTGTACGGAACCAAAGTTGATTGATTCCTCGCGAAGTCACGAAGGCGAAGAGACGACGAATGTCCGGCCGCGCGTCCGGCTTCCATCGTAACGTGGGAAAGCAAGATAATCCGAGGAGACGTTTATCAATCCGACGACGATGACGACGGGAAAGAAACAACGGCAACGTAATTGCGGTGAGGTCGACGAGAATCACGGACCAGTGTCCCCCGAATCGGTCGATGAATCAACCATTCATTAACGCCACATTTGTGATATCGTAGAGCGATAGAGGCGCGAAAGCCGACGACGTTTTGAGAACCGCGAGCCCGCGGACCGCATCATCCCCTATTTATTGTATACTAATCGCCTATGTTATATACGGCGGAGCGCGAACCAACGATGGTGGAGAATTCGGGGGCGAGCTTAGGGGCCGTTCTACAATAGCGCAAACACAGTTGTTGCGAGCGGTGTCGTAAGACGCAGTTGTGAGTTACTACCTACCGGTTGTAAAGTACCGTGTTGTGATAAATGACTGAACTTCATCATTCACGACCACGATAGCGTAAGACGCTCGAGAGTGTCGGCCAATCGGGGTGCTGTTATGGAAATGAACGTGACGATAATTGCATTCCGATTGGTTGCCGTAATCAAGCTACGACGGTATCTCTTTGCTCCGTATGTAGATTAATCTGTTTTGCAACATTCACCACTACTACCACAACTACACTCCCACAACCTTACGTTTACGTTTACGCTATTATAGAAACGGCCTTCGTGATTCTACACGAAGGAGAGGCCGCGTTGAAGTCTTCGCGCAGAGAAAAAGACGGACCCGTCCGTCCTTCGCACTCGGACGTCGCACGTAGAAAGGATCTCCTCTCTCTCTCTCTCTCTCTCTCTCTCTCTCTCTCTTCCTCGTGTCTCTTTCTTTTTCTACGTTACTCGTTTTTCAGCGTGAAAATGTTCCATATTTTGTACAGCTTATTTGTACGTAAGACGAATCCGCAAGACGAGGCGACGCGACGGGACTTGAATCGTCATTGACGAACGTGCGCATCAAGAACAATGCAGCCAGTAGCAATAAGCGAGAGAGACCATCGTCGAGCTCCACGCGCTGTAAAGGATACAAGAACGTAGTGATAGTGTAAGACACACACACATACCGTTCTCGCAGTCGCGTCGCTGTAAAACACCGAGAGTGCCTGTAACGACGCGGAATCATCCGCCGCGAACCCAAGTGGCGCGAAAGAGCCGCATCGGCGGTCGACGGCGAGAGGAACGAAGACGCTGTGCCGTGTACGTGTAAATAGATCGTCTTCTGCCGAAGTAATTCGCGATTTCCAATCAGCGAGTCGACGACGAGTCAGTCTCGCGTGATCCCGGATTTCTTCTTTCACACATATACACATATGCACACACGTAAGACACAGAGAGAGAGAAAGAGAGAGAGAGAGAGAGAGAGAGGGAGAGTACCCACACATTTTTGCCTCGCTCGCTTCGGACAATCGTGAGAGAGCCCCGATATATATATATTATATATATATACCTTATATATTCTTGTACATATAAAATCGCACCTTTGCCAAAAAGCAGTTACGAGGACCGCGAAGCAAGATCGGCCGGAGAAGGAACGGACGTATTTTTCCCCCTCCCCGCCTCTCCTCCCCCCGCAAACTATCTGAGTTGTACGCTCTCCATCTTTCTCTCCTCCCTTCCTCCTCCCTCTCTCACTCCATCCAGCCCCTCCGCGAGAGAGACGACTCGCGCGCGTTTTCGACTATACAGTTCCTATGTGCACTACTACTGGTATATAAAAGCGACTCAGGCGATCGATAACCAAGTCGTCCGCAATAATCGTATGTATGTATAATTCCGATCTTATTAAGCTTCGGTTCCCCCCTTTCTCCGGCTGCTGCTCGGAGATGTAAGTATTTAGACACTAAGGGACATATCCACAGCGCGTGTAGTGTACTTGTATATGAATACCGAAATAAATATTTTCAATGTTTTTGACAACCGTCGTGTTGTGTGTCTTCCACCTCCCCCTCCTCTCCTACCATTTGAGGATGATTCGCACGCTGCCACTGCGGCGAGGAAGACGGAAGGAGAACGAACGGTGACGCTGGTGGTTACCACAACGCTCGATGTTCTTGATAAACCGTGTATTCTCCACACACACCCACACGAGAAATATATAATAGACATCGGGCAAGAAAACATAGATATGCAGGGCGTCCCGCGAGAAAGAAGTAGGGCGGGACGTCGTGACGAACAGACACATCGATCGGACAATTAAATAGAATACAAAGAATATAAAAAAATATATATGTATATAATCGCGTAAAGTTCATTTGTACAAGTGTGAGAAATAATTTCTGTCGTGCGCTCATCGTAGATTGGACCGAGGATTCGAAAGGAACGCCTTCGCGTTATGGCAAAGTAAACGAAAGAAGCTGGAGTACGGGCGTGTGTCAACGACGAGAGAGAAAGAGAGAGAGAGAGAGAGAGAGAGTTCGTCGGCTCGAACGGAAACGGCGACGCTGAGGGAACGTTGCGCGTGGAAACTGTGCGGGGTGGTACATTTATATGGTCTCTTCGCGCGGTGTGATGATCCTTGTAAACTACCGATGTTGGGTGTTGCAAACAATCCGACAAACGGAATGATACTCTCCCTCTAAGTTTTTAAGAGTTTTAAGCGTGCCGGGATTACTTCCGCTTTTTACATTTTGTCCTACCGCGTCTTCTGCGCGAGGAGTTCTGGCGGGTGTCGGATTTCTTGGAGGACCTGGAAATTTAGCGAGAAATTGTCGCTTTCAGAATCTAGCCAGCCTTTCGACAAGCCAACTTGATGGAATGCAACGAACTTGACGAGTTCAATTGTTTAGGGATTCTACGATCTCTCGCGGATCTCTTTTACTTCGAGAAATCTTCGGGCTGGATCATGATCTTCGTTTTTGACGATCCACACGAACGTACCTGTGAACCCTATTCACCGAGACGGAGGTGTGTTTCTTCAACGTCAGATGTTGCTGTACCAGTTCCGCCAATTTCCCCTGCTGAGCGAGCATCGAGAGAAACGTGCAGATGAACTCGTCGTAATTATGCGTCCGCCGACAATCGTCGATCTGCAAAATCATCCGTGTTATCTCTCTATGCGTCGAGACTAAAGCATAACGCTCGGCGATACATTATCTAGACACGTCCTGATTTACGTTACATGACTTACATTCGCAAAACAACGTAATTGTCGAGTAATTGTAGACATGAATTACGAATTGTATCACGATAAGATCACTCGATAAGGTATCGAACGAGTTTTGTCCTTGGAAGAAGAGGTGTCAAGGTACAGAAAATTACAACAATAATAATTATTATTATATTATATATACATGTAATTATAATTAATAATTAAATATAAAAATAAATGTTATAGTACTTTTTAAGAGAGATACTTTTATAATTATGTGAAAATTATGCGAAAATCGTCAAAAACTATTTTCGTTATCAAAAACAGAAAATTATAACAATAACCATTATTATCATAAAATTATAATTATGATATATAGTTTTTTTAACACGATTTCGGTGTTCATTTCACGTATACAAGTGCCGAGGTAAGATTATTGAAAAGTGAATACTTTTCGAGATATTTTATATTTTCTTATTCGGATATTTTTCAGTACAAAATACGTGTAAATGTATATATCTCACAAAGTATTCACTTTCCGATAACATCAACAACCTTGGTAAACCCTGTACAACATAGTTATTGTTATAGTTTCGTACTTCTCGAGAGATGTATACCTTCGGTACCTTTCCTTTCATAATTACGAAACTATGTTTATCCAAGTGATTTGTTCGTTACCAAAAACACAGACCTTGTACTTGTTCCGCTTGTCGTTCTCATCCTTCAGACTGGTCTCGCACACGCTGATCTCGTGCTCGAGGTTCTTCAAGAGCGCCAAGAGGTCCTTCGGCGCGAACGTGTGCGGCTCGAACAATTCCGGATACTTGGAGCACAGCTTGGGGTCGATCTTCTCGACCTTCTTCTCCTCCGTCACCGTATCGCCGTTGCTGGTCTTCACTCGCGCGTGAGGGATCCTCACCTCGCCCGATAGGCAGACCTTCTTATGCAGATGACCGCTGTCGGACACCAATCTCTTCCCATTTATATTGATATTTCCCAGGGAACGGCCTGCGCGAACGAGTTCCGGTTATTACGTGACACTCGTCAATTCGGAAATTGTTCATTTCTGATACCCACTCAGACCGGCCTCGTTCTTCTCGTCCCCGGCGACCCTGATAACGACGAACTTCTTGAAGTCCTTCGTCGACGTGGGACTGCTCTGACCGGAATTCCAGCCCCAAGCTAACGGAAATCAAAACAGTGCATCCTGTAAACAGCTTTAACAGCTCGTCGAGGCCCCGTCGCGAACGATCTCGCGACGATTAACCTCGTGCAAATTCGCGAATTCTCCGTTCCATTGCTCGCTGATTTTCGACGACCGAGCGAGCAGGTGTGTAACGGCCGGGTCAAGTAACTGTACGCGCGAAGGTGCGAAACGAGACGCGCTTCCGAGAAGCGCGGATTCTCCACGTATGCGCGAAAGGTACACACAGCGCGAGCCCGGCAGAGATCGCAGTCTAACCACGACGCTCGCGACATGTGGCTCTCGTCGATCCTCATAGGCAACCTGGTCCTCTTGGCGAGCTCGTCGAGGTGTCCGGAGCCGAAGAAGCCGCATCGCACGAGTTGCACGATCTTCTACAACTGCGTGAATCTACCCGGCGGCGGCTACGTCTGGGTGCCGTCCAAGTGCACGGAAGGCTTGGTAAGACTCGATTACGAGTGCGCTAAAGCTAAGGGCCTACAATGCGCTCGCAGGGTCGTATAGTTGCAGTCGTTCGAGTTGCCCGAACTTTTATTCGAACAGTCAATAGTCGCAAAATTAATTCGACATGGAACTTTCCTTTTCAATCACTTCTCTCACGATTCTCCCGTCATTTTCAATGTTAATTTTACGACTATTTATTGATTGCTTGAGTGAAGGAAAATGTCCGGACAATTTTACAAGTGCGCCGAATCGATCACAAATGTCATTTTGTGGGCGCACCTTTTTATTTGAGTAATGAAAATTAAGAAATAATGAGAAATAAACATTTGTATAACGCAAGAGTTCTTGGCTTACGTTTTCTCGCCTCTAACGTCATTGAACAAAGACAGTTGCAGCGAAGGACGAAGAACCTTAACACATTTCACATGTCCTAAACGGTCCGCACAAATTTTTGTATTAATTTAACACAAGGTGGATACGTTGAAAAGCGACACAAGTATTATGTAACCAATTAACACAAAATTAACATCCATAATATATTAATCGATAATGAAGTATAGAATGTGTTATTTTAACACTTACACATATTGAATATCGGCCCAACCCAAAATCAGACAACATGAACACACGTGAAAAGTTTATCACAAAAATCTTAACATTTCATCAAGGATCGATTTTAACGCAAATGCGAAATGTTTTTTTTACTGCGTAGTTTATCAATTCGAACGGCCAATCCAGTCGCTGGAATTGGAAGTGGACCGACTCGAACGTTCTTACGACTTTACGACTGCCAACGATCGCATTGTAGACCCAACTTAAACCGTTGAAGATCCGACGACCTCGTCGGCACTTCCAGAAGGTAACATGAAGCGAATCCCTCGAGGATCGTACTCGATACCGACTCCAACTGCCGATTCCAGGTGTTCCAGCCGTACCTGCGCGTGTGCGTGGTGCCGGGCGACATTTGGACGTGCGACACGCTCTCCACCGAGTCGAGCCTCGTGACGAAGCGGTACCAGGGAGCAGCCGAGTCGATAGACCCGACGGAGTCCAGTTACCTGGGATACACGCGGGACTCGGCGGACTTCTCCGAGACGATCGACTCGTCCTACGTGATAGAAGACGACACTTCCGACCTGACGACCGAGGCGGAGACTCCGTACCCGCTGATCGAGTTCGGGGAGACCACCATGACGACGTCGCACGGAGACGAGGGGGTGAAGAACGTGTCGTACCACAAGGAAGAGAAGTATTCGTACGAGTACGTCAACGACCGGGGGCGAACGCCGTCGACCTCGACGCAGAGGTACAAGGACATCGTCAACGAGCACTACAAGCTGCTGCACGAGTTGATGAGTCGGCTGCACGTCTACAAGGAACTATCAGCCGCGGTGTCGTCGGCGAAGAATGCCACGACCGAGGCGGTGCTCGCGACGCACGACCGCAGGCAGAACGTGTCGCTGAATTACCTGGTGCAACGCTGCGTGCTCGCGGTCAGCGAGGCCCACAGGCCGGAGGTGACGGGGAACAACCTGGAGATGCTGATCGACGGCTTGGACGCGGAGAACAATGTGATAAGGATCACGGATGACCTCGGGAACGAGCGGTATCTCACGGTAGGCAGCTACAAGGCCGTCGCCCGGCGACTGAAGCCGCGGTCCGTCAGCGTGCTGGCGTGCACGAGGAACGTCCGTTTGCCGAATCGGACCGACTGCGGCAAGTACTACATGTGCGAGCCGAAGACGGCCGCGATAGTGGGGTACTCTTGCCCGGTGAACACCGCCTTCAACGTGAACTCACGGATCTGCGACACCGAGAGTGCGAGGACCTGCAAGGACGACGGGCGGGCCGCGGGCGAGGCGGCGATACTCGTCGAGCAGAAGAGGACCGACGAAGAGGAGCGCGAGGATGAGGCCCATGATGAAGACTCGACGGAGGAGGAGGAGGAGGAGGAAGAGGAGGAACCGTGCCGCGAGGTCGGCAAGATGAAGGACCCGGCCTCGGATTTCCACTACTACATCTGCTACAGCCCGGCCGGCTCCGAGGAGATCAAGTCGGTGCGGATGAGGTGCCCGAACGCCTTGATATTCTGCCGCAGCAAGCGGGTGTGCACGACCAGGCGGCTGTGTATTGCGTCGCGATGAGCGTCGCGAGGCTCGCCGACGAGCGGCGTTTCAATACCTTGAGTGGGCGAGTTGAAGGCCGAGCCGATCTCCGACGACGTGTCCGTGCTCGAGGAGCTGTGGGCCGGCGACGTCTGAATCCGCAGCGGCGTCGCGTAATCCAAAGCGCACATCACCACCTTCTCCATGCCGCTGAAACGGTACGCGAATCGTCACTTCGAGCGCGATTCTGGCGCGATCGCGACAGCGGGGACTCTTAAGATAAACATGCTTCGTATACGATCGTCGACTTGGGGATTGCGGAGGACTGTCGCGTCCACCGGAGAGCGGGTGCAACTCCGTGCGCGCATAGTCGCCGCTTCGTCGCTTTATCGGTTAAGCGTGATTTACTCAGCGCGCTCTGGGCGGATTCTCTCGAGCGTGGACGATTTCAAGTGCAATTTGCAAGGTAGAACGGTAAGTTATTATGTGTACGGTGTATGTACAGGGTATCCTAGGTGGGAAGGTCGATATTCTGAGGAGAGGTGATAGTCATCCGGTCATTTTAAGATTTGTTCATGTGAACGTGTGTCCTATTTGACCCCGTTTCAGAGATATTAATGATTGAGAAAGGCCACGTATGAACAATTCGTCTCTTCTTGAAACTTACTTGAATTCGTTAAGATACTGAAGCGTGAACGCGTCGGACATTATCAAGAGGGTGTTCAATCGTTACTTACTTGGATTCAGTCTTGCCAGACGCAATGTTGGAGACCGACTCGTCGATAACCACCGTCGAGTCGTTGTTCCTCTCGACGTTGATGGTCGGGATCGTCGTGGCCGATTCTTCGATTTCCGTCTTGGCGGATACTCCGTTCTCATCCTCCGTCTTGCTCCTCTTGTCGTACTGCTTCTCCTTGTCGGAGTCGTGCGAGCTCTTGTCCGCGCTGCCGTCTTGGTGGCTCAACTTCACCAGCTGCTGCAACGCCTCCAGGACGATCTGCCGGTTGGTCTTCAGCATCGTAAGCTTGTGCGAGATCGCGAGACGCCGGTCAGGCACGACGGCCATCAGGTTGAACCGGATGTCCTGCAGCTGCTCGCCCGTCGCCATGCCCAAACGATCGGTTATCACGCGTCTGAACTGCTCCGTCCACTCCTCGTGCTCTTTCCACGGGCCGTGATCCATCGGATACGGCTTCAGGCCGTCCAGCTCGAAGAGCCTGCCGTTTATCGGCACGTAGCTCACGAAGTGGAAGGCCTCGCCCGTGAATCTACCGGTCGAGACGCCGGTGTTCTTGTCCTGCCGTCTCTTCGCTTGCGGCATCGCGTGCGAATTGTGCGCGCAAGCCAATTCCGGTGTATTACCGATCGCCCAACCCTTGTTCTCCGGGCACATGCCCGAAGTGTGCATCTTCAGCCGAGACAGAGTCGTGCCCAGGTGGATGTTCGGGCAATTCAGCAAGACGGAGAGCAACGCATGGGTGGCGCAACTGTTCGGAACGACCTGCAATGTTCAAAGTTGTGTGTTAAGAATTACATGTAATACCGGAAACTCGCAATGTCAGAAGTTGCCCTTTAACCCTCTCACCACTGTGCCGACATATGTTTTACAGAAATGCCGAGTCTATCGTTGATTTTATATTAATCGAGATATGTTGTTACTAATATTGTTGCCTGAGCAAAATAGCGAGTTACAATTCTCTTTAATAAATAATTGATTTTAAAACAAATCACTGTCAAAGAATTGATTTTAAAACAAATCACTGAAATACTCTTGATCGTTAACACATTGACTGCCACGGAACTTTTCACGATTCTGGTCTAAGCTAATATGATATTTAATCAAGTAATGAAGCGACGAGATAGCTCGTAGTTGGCGTCCTGGGCAAGTAAACAACCTACGAGATATCTCGTAGTTGGCAGTCAACGTGTTAAAAAAACACTCGATGATGGTTAAGATGTGCGTTTACATCTCAACATACATTGTATGCTACAACGTATGTTATCCAAGTTTGGACGAGTTACATTAAGAAAGACGATACGCCAGACCTGCTGCGCGAAGAAGATATTGTTAACTATCTCCTCGTCCTTGACGAAGCTCTCATCCTGCTCGACGACTTTCCGTCTGGATCGCCGCTCTTCGATCCAACGGAACAGGAAGATGAAGCCATACACTGGGCCCTCCAGCGACTTCTGCAAATCGTAGATCTCCTCTACCTGGACGCCCTTCACCCCGAAGTCTTCCAGCAACAACGTAAACAAGCCTGTGGACAGTCGTGCAAAAAGCGACAGATTTTATTCGCAAGAAACCCAAACGCAATGTACACGCTTTCTCTAGATTAAAGTAAGAATCTCGGCGGAGATATTAAAGACCACCGACATACCCGGGTCGCTCTCCAGCTCCAGCCAACCCTCCGTCAACCGATTAATGTCGACGGGCATCCTGCTGTGACGAGCTGTCGGGCGTACAGAACGTCGGTTCAGAACGAGCTGCTCCGTCGCATTCTGACAGCCGAAGGCGCCATGTTGCACCAAAACATCTGTCACATGACGTGTGTCACGTGGTAGCGCTTACGGGCGCGCTCTCAACGGGCGAGCAAGTTTTCACGAGAGTGAAGAAGGATTTCGCCCGATCCGCTGTTGAGTCGTGCTACTGAAAAGTAAAGAGAGTATTTTACCTTGCCGTTGAGTAAAATACTTCGAACGTTCGAGGAGATTTAATATTTCAAGTCTTCCTTATCTAGAGAAAAAGGTAAACTTTACACGAAGTAAACATACAATTTATACAAGTCCGGTACAATAATTTGTATTAACAACTTGTATTAACAACCAAATTAAAACATTCCACACAGAAATTGATTGAATTTAGAGAAGCATAAAGAAGATAATCATCTGGCAAATTGAGAGAAGGATTGAACCTTGTTTCATCCGTCAAACGTCGTCCGTTCTCCGGGTGAGAGAAAGAGTGAGATTATCTCCAGAGAGGTTAGGTGGTCTCGCTTGCTGAAGAGAACCTAACCTCACACTCGGGCGAGTAAAACCGTCTCACAGGCAGGATGACGATGCGCTAGGTGCAGCTCGAAGGGCCACGTCGATCAACATGCTTACCCGGATCGCGAGGGGCGTGCTCGCGTCGAACGTCACCGCGTTGCTGAAGAAGCCGCCACCTCATGGGCTTGGAAGCACGTCACCCTCGGCGGCCATCCACACGAGCGAGCACCGTCGAGTTAACAAGAACAGGACCTCCGAGTCGACCGCACTCGTGCTGCACTCCTTCGAGAACGTCGAGAACAAGGGAAAGGAGACTTTTCTGGACATCCTGCGTCAGTACAAGAACAACAACATCATAAGGCGCGGCCACGTGGAGTTCATCAAGGTTGCGCTCAAGTATATGGATGAGTTCGAGGTGAATCGCGACCTGGCCGTGTACAAGGCCATCCTGGACGTACTGCCCAAGAGCAAGTTCATCCCGACCAACTACTTCCAGACGGTGTTCATGCACTATCCCATGCAGCAGCGTGTGGCGGTCGAACTGCTCTGCAAGATGGAGGACAACTGCGTCATACCCGACGCGGAGATGCAGCTGATGCTGTTGAACATCTTCGGCGTCCAGGGCCTGCCGTTGAAGAAGTTCTGGCGGATGATGTATTGGATGCCCAAGTTCGCCAATCTGCACCCGTGGCCGTGTCCGAAGCCGATACCCAAAGATCCAGAAGTGCTCGCCAAGCTGGCGATCGACAAGCTGTCCAGCGAAGACGTGACCACCGTGATCACCGTGTACAAGACCAAGGACGTGGAGGACGCCACCGAGGACACGTGGATCGTGTCCAGTATAAGTGGTGCCCAGCAGCAGCTGCTGCAGAGCCAGCCCACTGACAAACCGATCTACGTGGAAGGTCCGTACTCAGTCTGGGTAGCGAATCAATGTATAGACTACTTTGTGCTGCGGGGGGATGCCAGAAAGAGGGAGGAGGTCTACCAGGACCTGGATGGTGAGTGATCGTTCGGTGACGATGTGTGCATAGGGAAAAATATTACTTGAACTGCGAAAAAAGGCAATTACTCAATTCATTTTTCTTCTTTGAAGTGATGGTTATTTGGAATGAAAAATATCTCCTTGATAATAGTATTGAAATATACTCAATTGAAAAAATATATTCTTCACAAATTTCAAAATAATACTAAAATATATTCCGTTCAAAGTACAAGTAATATTTTGTTATTTCGTGTGCGCGCGCATGTGTGTGTGTGTGTATGTATGTATGTGTGAGACCCCAAGCTGACGCTATGCACACTTCTATTGCAGACGTTTCGGACATCAGGATACCGTTCTGGGACAAGCGAGAGGTCATTCCGAATCCCACCGTTCACGAGCAAGACGACGGCACGTACTTCGCGATGTGCGCCACCGGCACGTCCAGCAAGGACTCCTTGTTGTCTTGGATCCGCTGCTTGCAGAAGCAGAATCCGATCTTGGACATAATCCCAGTGGTCTTCAAGATCTCGTCCTCCACTAGGAACCAGCTGTACCTTGAGAACAGCATGCGCGAGCAGGAGATCATGCGGTCGTACGAATACCCATGAAGGTACGCGGAGGAATGATTAGATATTTACCGAAAGGCTCGGAATGTGTAACACAACTGGTACACGATAATTCGACGCGCGTACGTATATTGTAGATAGATAAAGTCTTCTGTTGTACATAAAAATATAGAGTTTTTACGGTTACACCGCAGCTCGATCGCTGACGATTCATTTATTGACGATCTTGCGATTCTCTAATCGCGATTACCGACATCGTCTTCTCGACGAAGTGAGGACTGCTCGAGAGAAGGGCTGTTAAGGACACACACGGCGCATAGAAAGTTTGTGTAATTTATTAACGTGCGACCACGCGTGTCACTTGGTACACCTCTCTCCGATGATAGGAATTAAAATGGTAACACACACATAACCGCTGTCGATGAATCGTCACATTGATTTTCGCCGTACCTCTCTCTCCACACATACACACACGCGCGCGCGCACGCACGTACACACACTCTCTCTCTCTTTCTCAAATCTTCTTCCTCGTCCGTTTTCTATAAATACATTGCGATTAAAAAAAAATATATATGTTACATCTGTACAATCTCATATATATAAATAAATAAATATAAATATATATATATATATATTTATTTATTTATTTATTCATTATAGCGTGTATACCGTAATCCTGCCGACGAGACTACTTCGTTAATCAACTGCGTTAAGTGTAAGCCGCTCTTTTAAGAAGACACCGGCGGGTTTAGCCGCGGAAACGATGCGTGCCGCGAAAAGGAGAACCCGGGAAAAATTATTATATATGAATTTTGGCTCTATATGCCCGTATATAATTATATATATATATCATAATCATATAAAATTACACGTGTGTGTGTGTGTGTGTGTGTGTGTGTGTGTGTAATTTTATGTGTGTGTGTGTGTGTGTGTGTGTGTGTGTGTGTGTGTGTGTGTGTGTGTGTGTGTGTGTGTGTGTGTGTGTGTGTGTGTGTGTGTGTGTGTGTGTATAATTTTATATGATTATATATAAACATTTTTTTCCGGAGAAAAGAAAGAAAAGAAAACAGAAATACATAGTAACGATTGTCCCCTACGTACGAATCTGCACGAATCATAACTCGAAGTAGAAAAAAGAGAGAGGGAAATTAAATCCGCGTGCGACATGAATTTTAGCGCTACCGGGGAAGCATTTTCGACGATTCCCCCAGATAGCACAATTCAAAATTCAAAATCAGGACATAAGATGTCTTAAACAGTGTTTACAGTGAGAATTTAAGGCACAAGATATGAGCTTTAAGCCTTAAGCTGTAAGAAATCGAACAATCACAATTGATTATTCTCCTCTCGCGCTCGATTAATCAAGGTCAATTTCTTAAGACTTAAAGCTCAAATCGTACGCCTTAATTTCATACGCCTAAGTTATAGACACCGCTTTACGTCCAAACTATAATATATAAATCACTGTCATATTTGTGCTGCTCAGATTGTCCAGACGTCTTTGAGACGTCTTATATCCCGACATTGTGCTGTCTGGAATGTCGTAGCTCGACGTATCACGTCGTTCTCCAACTACGGGCCGCGAATTCCTAGCCCGAGCGAATGTGACGATCGAATCGCGTTATAGCCTGTCCCTCGACGATGAATCTTTGATAAGTCAGCTAGTTGACAAGACGCGATGTGCTTGTAGTGCCATTTATGCCACTCTCCGATATCGCCGCATCGATCACACGCACACGCTCTTGCGACACGTGAGAAACAATGATCCAACACATACATATACACCGTGTCATGTGAAATCCGCGTGTGACTCCACCGAGGTTTCTCCGCTACGTGAACCAGCAGCCGCTTGAGACACGATAAAGGCATCTACGACACGTTGTATGAAAGTTTAACGCTAATCGTTGGTGTGCGTACGTTAGCGCCGAGTGTCTTCCACTTCGCGACGATAGACTTTTTCCACTAACAGCCGCGGGACAAATTGAGTAGCTGAGTCGGAAACTATCTAATACCTCGATAAAACCGTATAAATATATTGAATGTTTCTCTCAAAGGTAACGCGGTTAAAACTACAACGATGAATAAAAGCATCGCTTCTGTTACGAATTACAGGACCGTTCTCGTTTAGTGATTACAAGAAGCCGACGTTGACACGATCGTCCGTTTGGCCAAGAAGAATCGATATCCGGTATATTTATAAATGGCTACGTCCAAAGAAAGAAGCTCAGTGAATGCTCAATGACTATTGTTTGTGAGTGGAGCTTTCTTTTAGATTCTTATTGGATCCAGGAGAATATACCAATCAGGAGCAATTATCACAAAACGCTTACTAAGCTGCTTTTTCTATCGAAAGCAGTGCCTACGATATGGTGAGCTTTAAGTCGTAAGAAACTGACCAATCACAGTCGAATGTGAAAAGAATGATCGATTGTGATTGGTCAATTTCTACACACATTGCAGACACCGCTGAACGCAGACAATCACTCTATTTAAGCAGAGAAAAAAGCTCAGTCAGCTCTCAGTGACTATTGTTTGTGACTGGAGCGTTCTTTTAGATTTTTGTTGGATCCAGGAGAGTGTACCAATCAGAAGCAATAATCACCAAGCCTTCACTGAGCTACTTATTTTGCTGAATGCAAGCATTATCACGAGTCACCGCTCGCCTCCTTACCGCGTTACGCATTCTCGCTCTCGCTCTATACAATTAATGTACAAATATTGCTAATCTAAATACTTTCGCGAACTAAGACAAATACTGCTAGGAAGAGAAGCTCACCGACATAAGCGCATCGACTCGTAAACTTAAGCTTCCGGGCTTTCTAAGTTCGCAACACGTCTCAAGCACCGTTCTCCTGTGCACCTTGATTGTCTTTAGAAGAAGTGTTTCGTCGAGACACACCGTGAAACACGTTCGCTTTCGAGGGTCGATTTCGCGAAAATCACTCGAATTATAAAAACAATTATCAGCTCAACGCAATTATATCCGCTGCCGATCGCGATCAACTCGCGATCGTTGGAGTAAAATCCGGGATCAACGACGACTCAGTGTCCAAAATCGAGACGGTAAGACATCTTAGGCCTAGTTTACAATCTTGCTTTTGTCATTAGGATTTAAGCACTGTGAGCACTAAGCCGTAAGTTATTACCGGTCGATTGTTCTCCTTCGGTCGAGGAATTATTAACTGCAACTGGTTAATTTCTTCACTGCTTCCGTTTTAAATGGGAATTGCCGATTTCTTTTACATCTTATGGCTCACGGATTACAGCAAGTTTCAAGTCGGACATGACGTCGTCACTTAAAACAAGATTGCGGGGAAGGACTTAAGGACACCTGAAAAAACGTCTTATGTCCCGATTTTGCTGGACATTGCCTGAGAAGCGCGATAAATCGAAGTGACAGCAAACGATCGTCCGGAAATGGCGGTATAGGCGCAATAGAAAACTCGTCTTAAGTACAAAAAATGTAGAAGTACGTTCGGCCGTTGTGTCACCCATCCACTNCCCCCCCCGGTCTGCCTGTATCGCGCAGACTATCATAACGGAGAGCCTCCGCGATGACAAATCCGCCCATGAAATATCGTCGACGAAGCAAATACGCGCACGATTAACGCGAAGGACGGTAATTTCAAATCAAATCCCCGCTGGAGACGTCGCGCGACGCGCCTCTTCCCCTCGTCCCCCGCATCCGTGAAGCTGCCATATGGGCGTCGAAATGTCAGTCGCGATAACAAGGCTCCCGACGATCTATCGCGCGGGAAACGAGAAAGGAATGATCGTCGTCGTCGTCGGTTTTCCTCGTGGAGGAAGCGCAAACGAGAGCGTGCATCGCACGCTTAGGGAAACGTTTTTAGCTCAGCGCGCGTATAAAATTATTTGGCCGTCCGTCACCGCGGTGTTGGCGGGCAGGTGGAATATTTCCGGTATTCTGGGAGCGGCGCGCTACAAAGTTGCCAAACAATCATCGAACGGGACAACAAAGCGCGCGCGGTTGGAGGAAATTATAAATAAATCCGCCGGGACGCGCGAACACTCGAGAGTTCGTGTGTTCGTGCGCGAAGACCGCGGTGACGCGAGTCGTGCGGCGATGGTTTGTTGTTCTTCCCACTACTTCGTAGCGATCACTCAATCGAGTGCGACAGCTGCGCGCGTCATCAACGTGGCCTGCAATCCTGCGAGGCTCGCGAGAAGCGGCCCCGCTCGAAGGGACAGACGGACGCGGGAGAGCGCATTGCATAGGCGATTCGTTCTCGAAACCGGCTCACTCTTAAGGCTCGCTCACAATGTGGTCACGAGGACGTCCCAAATAGCACGTATATCTAAGAAACGTCTTAATGATATCTGGGACTATACGTATAGTCGCAGTCGTTTGAGTCGGCCCACTTCCAATTCCAGGCATTACCACCAATCTGTCGCTGGAAGTAGACCGGCTCAAATGACTGTGATTATACGATCCTACGCGGAAGAAAAAAATAGTCTTAAATCATTGAGAGATATTCTCAGGATAAGCAAGGGTATTACAATCTTCTTAGATTTCTAGTCTCGAATTGAGTTCAATTAATACTCGCATCTCAATGCAAATTCAATCAAATCAAGAACAAAAGTCTTCTAAGATGATTATGATATTCTCGCTTATATATGAGGATACCTATATTCTCGAGTTGAGACTAATTTTTTTCCTGTGCACGATTACACCGTAGGCTCGTCTGTAATGCGGTCGCAGAGTCGCAGTCGTCCGAGCGATTACGACCAAATCTGTCGCTGTAACTGGAAGTGAGTCGGCCCGAAAGACTCGTACGATTCTGCGGGCGCATTGTAGACCCCGCTTTAAGATCCTACATGAAACATTTACAAAGTCGTCAGCCGTATCTCTAATAAAAAAGAAGGAAAGCCCAAAGAGCTGGCCGCCGTGGAGTAACCGGGCGAGACGGAGGAACTTTGTGCCTTCGAGAGCGCCGTGGCGGTACAATGGCGGTTGCGGGACGGCCGACGGCGGCCCGGTCGGCGAACTTCCCTTCCGGTCGGCTCACTCACATGGCGGAGAAGCAGGATGTTTGCCGGACCGGTTCTTGAGCGCGTCTCGTGTAGACCTTCAGCAGTTGGCAGTGTACCCTGCGCGCACGTGCGTGTGAACATTTAGTATGCATTTAGTATACGACGGGAAAGAAAGAGACGCGCGTTTACCCGCGTGGCTCCCGGTCCGTTTACTCGCCTGATTTTCACGTTGGTGCTGTCAATCACCTCGCCATCGCAGTTCCACACGCTGATCCGGGAGCCGAGGCGATTGATCTCGCCCTGGGACTGCAGCTGCTGCTGGGCGCGGAATGTAAATTCTCTCGCTCGGTAGACCTCGACGAACGGTAGGTCGTACTGCGAAAGTTCCATTTGGTTTCAGTTTTGTTTGGAACATCGACTTCGGGCTATTCTCTCGCGTGGATTTCATGAGGCAAATGATCGATCTAACGACTACACTGAGAACAAAGTATTTGTTATTTCTGGCTAGAATCGCGCGAAGTAATCACAATCAAGGAGAACCCCCTCTCTCTCTCTCTCTCTCTCTCTGACTTGTTGTAATTGCTGTTACAGTAATCTAGATAACAATCTTTATTTTAATAGTTTTATAAACATTGAATTTTGTATTGGTTATGCACTGCATAATTTTTTTGTTTATAACTTTTGGAATTCTATGCGATATAAAATAATTATTTTTTAGAGTCCTTATAGTTTCTTTCAAAATTTCTCAAATTTAATCATCACAATTTGAATGATTCTTAATTTTATGATTTATAAACTTTTATGAATGGAAAATATTAAGAACTTTGCACAATAAATATATATTCGTTTGCAAGATACATTTAACAATACTTCAATTTCACCTGGAATTTTTAACAGATTGTCTGAAAAATTAGGAAATGTGTTTTCAAATTTAAATAGATACCCTATATAATCTATANAAAAAAAAAAAAAAAAAAAAAAGAGGCGAATATATCGATCGAGCGAGGTGTTCGGTTGCTTCTCGCGCGTACCAGAGTCTTTCGTTTGCTGGAGAGCCTGAGCAACAGCCTGATGTTGTTGATCAGGGAGGTGTGTCGCACTAGAATAACATCTACACAGCCGTCGCCTATATGACAATGCGGACTGAAGCCCATGGGACTCCTCGAGCACGCGCAGGACACGTTCGCGCCGTTCACCATGAAGAACTTCCCTCTGACCGTCACCCACCCTATGCAAACGATATCACGAGAGCGTTGTATAAGTAGTTTACTCAAGTCTGTTAGATTTTGTGTAGCGTCTTATGACACAATACTCACTTGAGATCTCCTGATCGGGAACGCTGTTATGCATGTGTTGCAGGCAGCGTGAGCAGTTTTTCATGCACCTGGTGCTGCCCGCCGGATGGCACGGGTCCGACAGCAACTCGATCTCGCCCTCGTAGCCCTTATTCGCGATTATCTTCTTAAATCCTAAAATCAAGAGAGATTGTAATTAATTCATTCATTAGTTAATTAGCCAGTCGAGCCGAATAACAGAATCGAATCGGCAATTTCTGCGCGACAACAATTTTTCACGTCAATATATTGACGGTTATAAGCGGGCCACATTCTTGTGCAAATATATATTTTGATAGAAGACAGATAAAAAATTTCTCACAAAATATGCAGACTTTTTTAGCCTTTTTTTTCTACGAGATTAATTGATCTCTTACGTTGTTTATGTCCTATCGAAGTGTAGATTAACTGATAAAATATGCTGAGAATACTTCTGTTCCTCGCGTTAATCTACACGTATCGTTTCCTTTCAGTGTGAACGTATTTCGCAACAATCTATCAAGATTTATATAATCATCCATTGTTGAGTTGAACATGTAAGACATGTAAATACATCCAATAAATACATCTAATTCAACACTGACACGCTGATGAGATCTCAATTCATTTAAACATGCAAAAATTCCATTCGCTTCGTCCTGAGTGCGAGAAAAATACTTGAATGATGAATTGCTTCTGAGCGAATCGCAAAATGATGTAACTGCATCGAAGGGGGTCAAGAACGTCAATTGAGAGCTCAATGGACGATGATGTGGCGTAAATCAGTTCGACATTGGGTTCATAAATGCCTGAATATTTGAGAACGACGGAAAACTAGATCGCACCCGATTCGCATTACGACTTGACAGCACTACTTGATAATTTATCAGATGTGTGTGCAAAAGTTTTTAGTTTTTTGACTACGTGAAAATAAAGCGAGAACTCGCGAAAAAGGACTAAAGTTTTGCACACACTCAATACTATTCTAAGCTTGCATTGTAAATGTATTAGGCGTGTGCAAAGATTTTAGTCCTTTCGTCGCAAATTTTCGCCTTTTTTTATTATTATAGTCAAATGAATAAACTTTTACACCTAATACTGCAGCGAGTGAGCGAGAAATCTCCTCACCGGAATAATCGTATCTCTGGGGGCCCATCCAGCGGAACTTCTCGCTATCGCGGATCACGTCGCCCAAATATCCGTAACTAAGGACGCTGGCGTACAGCCTGAGCAGGGTGTGGTTGTTGTGCACCGACGAGATGTCCAGGCCGGTCGAGTCGCCGAAGATGATGTGAATGGCCGCGGTTTGCACGTCGGTGGTGCCGTGAAGGCTGTAAGCCACCGTGTCGGTGCTACCGCTCGGTATAACGCCTACAGGCAGTGCGGGGCTCGGCAACCTCGCGTCAGGGTCATTCGGATCGATTTGCTCATCCTTAGCCGCCCTCAGCACCAGCCCGTTGAAGACCTCGGCGAACGTACCGTCGCCGCCGATACACACCACCGCCTGAAACGCGCAACCGGAGTCAAGTATACGAGGAAGAGTCGATTCTTGGATTTGTCGGACGCGACTCTCTCCCGACAAGATGTACGAGTCCAGAACACTAACGGATCTCGAAAGATTTCTCTATGAATATTTGTATATTTATATAAATTACGTAAATTAAATCATTTATGTGTAAAATATTATGTAATTCTGTCATGTCTGTTCAGTAATATATTACTGACATAGTAATATATCACTGTGTGTATTTTACTCTATGTGATATAAAATATTTATTTCCTAGAGTTATTATAGTTTTGTTCGAAATTTTTTAAATTTAGCCATTGAAACGTGATTTTTAATTTCATTTTATAATTTATAAACTTTTATAAATGAAAAATATCAAGTTTTGGTAAATATATCACAATAAATATCACAATAAATATATATTTATTTGCAAAATACATTTAAAAGTATTTTAGCTCATTTTACCTGGAATTTTTAAGAAATTGCCTGAAAAAACAGAAAATTCTCAAGGAATTTTGTTTCGGATTCGAGTAGACGCTCTGTCAAACACTTTTCAGATATAGCTGCCGCAATTTTAGTTTAAAAAAATATATTTTATTCATTAAATCGTGTTTGACAAATAAGTAAATAGGCACATACTGTTATAAAAATTGTTCGAAATGTCTACTTTCTTTATCAATGCACAATTGACATCTGTAAAATAAAGACACGCGTGCATGTTCGAATATTGTTTCATTATTCCCAACGCTATATGGCAGTGACGCGATGTCACAATAAATGATTCTTCGGTTAATATTCAGAATATCAAAGTTGATAGATATAATCTTTAAAAGCCGATGAAAAAAGTATTGCATTATCCATCCTTAATCCGCTTATTACGGCACGTTTCCTTTCATCGCTATCATCTTCCAAAGACTACATCTCAAGAACCAAGCTTTTGTTTACCAACAATTTCAACCGAACAAAAATTTAAACCAAACATATATATTTACCAAAACTTGTTTACTTATTCTTGAAAATAGAATCTGTCCTGTTAGTTTATTAGTAGTGTCAGATATATCGTGTATATCACATAATTCACCATATACATGACGTATCTCATACATTTAACATACATTCAATATCCCCAATTAAATAAGAAAAAGTCAGAAAGATCCTTTTTCCGGATATACGTGAATTGGTGCGAGTTCGCGCGCGCACGCGTAGCTTTCATCGCAGTCGCGGCTCTGTAAACTTGAACTCCGCAAAAAGCGAGGGAAGCAACGAGCGGCTCGAAACGAGCGAGGTTAAACAAGAACTGGACTCACATGTAGGTCACTTAAGTCGGCCGTGAGCAGAGTGTCGCGTATGTGTCCGGCGCGCTCAGTCACGATCATTTTCGTCTCGATGCCGGCGATGGTCATAAGCGGCTGGACGTCCTTCTCCCAGATCCGCACGCCTTTCTTCTTGCCGCCTATGGGATTGACGAACAGCATGACCTTTCGCGGCCGGTGCGTCAGACCTGAGAAAAGAAACCGCGATCGACCGTGGTTAAATTCGACTGCTGGTGCTCGATCACGCGATCCCCGAATGAGACCCGCACAAAGCGGATCCGATGTTTAATTAACATCAAGATGCGATCGTGCTCTCTCCGGGCGCCCCGATCGAACTCACTCACCCCGTCGTTCATCCCCGACGAAACCGGCCGACGCCGGATGCAACGTCAATAATCGAATGTGTTTTTGACGAAAGCGGCATTACACCGACGGCACGCCGAACCCCCCAGATCAATACCGCGGCCGGTCGTTCGCGACGCTCGACAGGGGGTAGTTTAGTGCACGCCCATCCCTGTTTTCTCGACATTCATTAAAACTTGCCCCCTCTCGGGACACCGGCGACCTGTGCACGCTACGTATACCGAGCAGCGGCGAGAAATCGCTCCCGTTCCGTTGCCGACTCGTTTAAGGGGGTATCATTTGGAACGTTTCGTTTGTTAAACAAGTTTTTTACATTTTTTTCCCTTTCCAAAAACTATAAGACATACAATTCTGAAGTTTTGCATAAATATTTGTCTATGCTTTAATTATATATAGTAATTTCTATATATTGTTGTTCTCAATATTAATAAAGTTACAAATAATTTTGTTGGCGCTGAGAACGCGAAAACGTTGTTTTCCACGATTCCGGACTTTGTCAGAATCAAAACAGCGAAAAAATTATAAAAATCTATAAATCTACGGTTATTGTCCCTACCACGATGAAATCAGTAATCTTTAATATTTTGATTGTTTGAGAATTTCCAAAGCTGGCCAAAAATCGATTTTCACTTTTATGTCGCGCCATTTTGTAAAAACTCAATTTTTAGTTTCCTTTAAGTAGGGACGATAGCCACAAGTTTATAGTTTAATAATTTTTTGCTGTTCTAGTTTTAAAGCTTACAACGTCCGGAATCGTAGCAACTATGCAAAATTTCGCTCAGCGCTGCACAAAATAATCTAAAACTTTATTAATATTGAAGATAATAATACGTACAAATTACTGTATACAAGTTGTATCTGAACTTTGCCAACAAACTCACAGGATAGATTCTATATAAAAATACAAATAAAAACATCTTAATAAATATATATTCAAACGCTTATAGTTTCTGAGATATAGCTGCCGCAATATCTCAATTAAAAAAATATATATTAATATGTATAATTATTCATTAAATCGTGTTTTACCAATAAGTAACTAGACACGTGCCATTATAAAAATTATTCAAAATGTCTGCCTCTTTTATTAATACTATATAGTTAAATCATAGATAGACACTCGTACAAAATTTTGAAATTACATGCCTTGCAATTTTTTCCAAATTTCTAAAGACCCCTGCAAAACGACGTTTCAAACGAGAATAATGAACGACCCGGAAGTCGGCGGCTTCGCCGGGGCGAGAAACCATCGAAATCCGCAAACAGCGGAGCCCAGAAGGATCGAGAGCGCGCCGAGAGTTCGAGGCGCGAGGGAAACTTTCGCGGACTCGACCTGCCGCGCCACTATCGCGCTATTTCTAGGGTCACCGCGTATACTCCCGCGCTCCGCGAACCTTTTATCGTGATTTACGCCGACCCCAACTGGGTTAGCTAACCGTTAGAACTTTGCATACCGCGTCTCTGACTTTGAACGCGCTCGGAATGCGAGCGGAAACGTCCGGTTTCGCTTCTCCCGGCTTCGTTCTCCGTCAAACAAGACAGCGAAGACATTCCTCCTGGAAGTCGTTTCCGAGTATGCGAGACAGTGCCTTGTCGCTTTATCCGCGCGAAACGATGCTTCATACTCGCGCACGTCGCGTGCGATATCAGTCAGGTAACAGGATGCGGTTAGTTCCTAGTACTAATTTATGCGTCATGTTTATTCGCCGATGAAGAGAATTCGCTCGTTTTCCTCGTAGAGAAATCTGCTTATTTTTTTTTCCACCGTCGCTATTATGCGTCTATGCCGTCGCGCAGTTAACGCACCGCTGATGAGGGAGCACACGTCACTCAGCAGACACGCGGCTAATCATGTTTTTATCATGCGTTCGTTTTTCACTGGCGAGTTTCCTCGAACACGCTCGTGGAATGAGTAGACAGAAGTGCAGTCTATACGTTCTAACTAGCCGGTAGGCTACTTTCGACTCTTCGGATTACGCTGAAATAACAAATTACGCTCGCCGCCGCAGACTCTGCGGCGCATACGGGGTGTCCCGTTTCGATCCTCCCGCGCGATTATCCCTGACTGATTAGTGGTTCTTCGGGGAATCGTGTCGCATTGAAGTTACTTTGTTCCGGGATGACGATGACGTCCACGCTCGTAAGTTTGTCGTGTGACGTCGATTTCGGAATCCGAAAGACGCCCTTTTATAATTTCCCAGACGGAACTATATGCGCACACACGGTACATTCCGGCATCTGTTCGAAATTTCGAAATTTTGAACTTTCACACTTCGCGCGTAAAATCGTTGGTGAATGTAAGAACGCCACTAGATTCGCGTCTATGACGCGCTGAGAGGGAAAATTGTTCATCTTATTGCCATTATTAACATATCGATAGTTTAAGTTTGTCTGTACTTTTATCATATATTAATCTCAATCGTTGCTCTCACAGGATCTATTCTAGAATATAAGAACAAAATCGATTCTACTCTATCATATTCACCTTTCCAAACCCTATAACTTTTGTCTGGAAATATTTTTGATTCGACCTCATCGTGCGAGGATAAATGACGCGACAGGAAATTAAAACGGAACACGCTGTACAATATAAATTAAACCACGAATATTATTATTAATATAAACCACTTCCGGTGGTCGATTTTATTCTTTGTTATCTAACAAAGAGTAACAGAATCATTATGTGTGCAAAGTTATTGCTGATAACACTGCAGCCGTAATTCCTGCGGAGCAATTAATTTCCCGACAGCAATTACGTCACCGTGGTTATTATAGTCATAAATGTTTGAAATTTTCCTTCTGGCCAAATTCATCAATTTTTTCCTCCCCCTCAGTGTGCGTGCAAATCCGGCGCATCTCGCGTCTCTCGATGAGGGCACCTCACCTAGCAAATAATTCCGGATAGTCTTGACCCACGAGGCGACCTGGCGGGGGTCGGTGTGGCTCATCGTCACGCTGTGGTGCCTCCATTTGTTCTTCGTCGTGCGCACCGCGTAGTGCAGGATGAAATTCGTCGGGCAGACCGTGGGCGAGGTCGGCTGCGTCGGAGGTTGCTTCTCCTTAACGTTGACACCCGGTATCCAGTCGTCCCCGTAGCGGACCGCCAAAACGTCCGTCAGTGGCAACGTCCATCTGGCTGCGACGAACAGAGAGAAGACAGGACAGATCAGTTATTGCAAAGGGCCCGGAGAGGAGCTCCGCTTACTGCGCAGGTATTCGTTTGCACGGCGCGATTAACGTGTAAAAGAGGAAGGAGCGACTTCATTATCGGCGTGATAAGACAGCGCGTGTTTATAGCCACATGTATTCGCACACGCACACACGAGCAACAGCGAACGTGATATATTCGGCCGCGCGCATGGCGATAATTATCATCGAGATTCGATAAGACGGCCTGAAGTTTCGCTCGATGGCTCTTCGCGTGAAAACTCGTCCGTTTCATTGCGCGCTTATTAACCCGGGAATAGTCACCGTAGTAGGTACGTATTTCGTTCGGAATTTATCCCGATCGGAAACGTTCAATTATTCCCTGTAAAATGCAAGAGAAAATCTAGGGATTAATTAAAGGATTGTAATCGGAATCGATTTCCGAACAGTTCCACAATAAACGCCCTGGAGTTATTTAGATCTCAACCAAAAGTCGTCATTATTAACAAAACATAGCACATTATCGGTCGCTCTATGATTCATCATTATCTAGGGACATTAAAAATATAGATTTATTATTTTTGTGAAAAGTAAAGAAGAACCAAAAAAATATTGAAGAAACGGAATAAATACATCGGGTGTAAATACATGATCGTTTATGTAATCGTTACGTGAGAAAAAAATATAATGACTATTCTCAATTTAATATCGTACGATGATCTGAGCTCCGGAACGATTAAACGGTGATTCGCACCGTTTTTAATGTAACACGTACAACATGCTTATTCGGTGGACGGTAAAGCCGACCGGAGAGAGAACGGTACGCGTGCAAGACGTTGTGCAACGTTTCGCGGCGGGTTACGCAGCGCGGGTGCAGGTGCACTCACTTGAGCCGCGGTGTTGTCGCAGGAAAGTTGCGGGTCAAATCGCCTTTCCCGGCGAGATCGAGTCGAGCTGTGCGGGAAAACGAAACACCGCCTCGATGTCCGACGCTGAGCGAATAAATGTTTCACGCTTTCGTAAATTAACGTACATACACACACACACACACAAATTTCTTTGGATTTAATCAAATTCCCTTAATCGAAATGCGTTTTCTCGCTTCTGACGTCATTAAACGAGAACAGTCGCAGCGACTACACCGAAGCCTTAAAGGATAATGCAATAGAACCGGGAAATCTCTTTTTATACGATGAACGTTATTTAACAACACATTCACGTTATTCAACGGCACACACTATAGCATCACAACGCTATAAACGATGCGTTTAGAATGCTAGATAGTTTCCTTTGAATATGATTTGCGCTACTCTATTTTCGCGAACCACCCGCAGAAACTCGCAAACGAGATTGTTATCGGCATCAATAATCGTGCAGGGCGCAATTCTTGTGCCATTGTGCACCTACGTTGTCAATTTCTTTCCTCGTGTAGATAATAATTGCTACGGTGTTGTTAGAACACCGACGCATTATCTCGTACTTATCGGCCGCTGGACGATATCGTATTCGACGAACCGGTGCGATGACGTTTAACATTTAACGACCAGTTCACCGATATACGATTCTATTTTACGTGCGAAAAACCAAACGAAACTAACACACATCGAGTAATATCGATCGTGTCCCGCAACGACGACGACGACAGCGACGATGATAATAACACCGGGGTTTCCGTTAGAAATTATCGTCGGAGATGGGAATTTTTACACGGAAAAATAACTCGGTTCGTGTCATTGATTTTCTGTTATTTGAGAACAAAAACTTGGTTATAGCAACAGAAGGAAATGAGGTTATTTTAATTAATTAATTAGATATGTATATTCATGTTTATTATTTATTACATATTATTTATTAATATTTACTTATTATCACACTCCTGAACACATTATCCATCCATGATTACATGTACATATAGTTAGTGCAAATATATACTTTAAATATATATATATATAATTAATACACAGAGAAAAAGGTTTCTTTGGATTTAATATACATGTTTGGCTTAGGTTTGTTTAATATAAACAACATAATTTAATATAAAGTATTTTGTTTGAATAAAATGTCTTACCAAAGTAAATTATGTTGTTTGATAGAAAAAATAATATAATTCCGAGGAAATAATATTTGCTTTACAATAAAAAGATTTATTTCATTATATGTTAAATATTATTTCACTGAAACAAAAGAGGAAATTACTAAAAGACGATCTCCTATTGGACACTGAAAGCGTTGCAGAACTAATCGAAAAAAGTGTTGCCTCTTTTATCATGCCGACTGTATACCTTGAGAGAGCCTAGTTTATATATACATACTAATTCATTAACTTATTAATTCATTAAGCTTACCCACACGATCAATAATAACAGATATATTGTTCCTCGTCGCCGAGTTTTCGCTTAGTCCTCGTTCAACTACAGCGAACTGAAATTTCTTTCCGCTCAATTCCGTCGCGCGACGTCGCGTGTTGTGGTTGTTTGCGACAAGGAAAATTCGTTCCCAAATCAGTTTCGAAGGATCTGTTATTAAAAAATAACGCGTTGAAACCGGGAAACCCGTATTTTGCGGAACAGCGCGCACGGCGGGGAAACATCGAGCGAAAGAATATGTATGTGGAGCGCGCGATGCACGCAACGAGATGCGACACACAGGCGCGTCACGCGGCATGCGAGAAAGGGAGAGAGAGAAAGAGAGATATGCGTGCATACATTTAACGACGATTTTATTCGCGCCCGCAAATCGCGATCGCGAGTCGCGCACGGACGAACGTTCCGTGGGGCGAACGGAGCGATTGCCGATCCGGCTAACAAGCGGTTGTTAACGCCAATTCGATGGCCCGATAATTCGTTGGCGATGCGCCTCGCGTCGCACGACCTTAATAAAGTGCGACGCGAGACGCGATAAAGTGATTGCCGTGTGGTGTACATACGCTTCCTCAAACATCGGACGCGCGCTGCAATCTTATTATTGTGACATGCCGGGTAATCGCGGATTCGCACGCGATATCGTCTCGATATCGGCTTTGATATCCTGAGAATTCCCCGACGACTTCCGACGACGCTTTGTCGCTCTTTATGATCGGTGATATTTCGAAAGGTTTTCGGAATTCTCCGACGTTCTCGCGCGAAATTATCTTCCGTGACGAAGGAAAAAAACGATAGTCTGAAGTTGTAATGTTTAATTCAGTCCTGCTAGAGTAATTTAAAAGTCTGAATATGCGAATACTGAACGATTTTTTCTCTTTGCCTTTATTTGCATAGTATTGCGGTGACAAATAATATATTCAACTTTGAATGTGTTCTTCATATTTTGGCCTATATATTGTAACTGTATTCGATATAATGATCCAAGCTAACATTGTATCGTCCTCAAGAAACGGTAAATCAATTATTGTTGCTTGTGTTTCAAATATTTGCTCTTAAGTAAAGAAGATATAAATTGCGCAGAGTTTTTCTTTCCTCCTTTTCTTATCCCTCATCTCTCCAATATGTGTACTTTTTGTCTAGAACATAAGATATTCTTTCTAATTTGCAGTAACCTTATCACCCAGTTGCGCATATTTGCAATATCGTGAGAAATTTGAATATTTATTCAAATGTACATATTATAAATAAACATTATGTACTTTCTACCACATGTTGCATTGATAAAGATATATATTCTTTGATATATGTTATTACTTTTACTTCCCTAACTGGAGTTTTAATATTTTTCACGCTTAAATTTTGAAAATTATTATTTTTATTATTTTTGCGATTAATAATAATTCAATATATTCCGTCTGTCTTCATTGATAAATTATTATTTTTTTATTAAAGGAAGAATTATAAATCTAGCTCCTCTCTCTCTCTCTCTCTCTCTCCTTCCCTCCCTCAGCGATAAGAAAATAATATAATTTATTTCCAAAAATATATTCGTTTTGGCATCACTGTGCGCTGCGACTTTATTTAGACGCTGTAAATGTGACTTGGCTTTGCGCTCGGTACCTCTTCGACCTATTTTGCAATAGCGACGATAAAAAACACATAGAAATGCAAAATTGTACAATCTGAATCGTAAAACCATGTTGGCCTTCGTTCGGCTTTAGTTATTCTCTTTTTTTGTTATGTCTATTATAAACGATCGACATGAACTTGATCAAGAAAAAAGAGTTGGATCGATACTTAACAAGAGACAAAACATCGTAGATAGCTTATGATTGACGCTGACGTCTAGTTATTCCACAATTTTTGCGATTCGCGAAGTGTCTTACCAGTTTTTATATAGTTCTAATTTGCATTTGTCCTCGAGCGACGAGAAGGGAGAAAAAACTACCGTTTTACTCCGAAGTATGATAAGATAACGTGTTATTGAGGAATCTTTATGTCCGCCTTCCTCTGCGAGGACACGCTGCGAAACTTACGTAACCCGCGCGTGACTTTTACATTCGAATCAATCATCTCGATATTCGCGTGCAAGCGTCGAATAACAGCGCATTTCCTGGTCGAATGTATTGTGCGGACTGCGAGTGAGGCTTCTGCGGGACACAATGCACAAAGTAAGGACGAGACACGTTCACCATGAACATGCGAAAATTTCGCAGTGGCAGCCGGGAATTAGTTACGTGACCGGCCGAATGTATCATCTTTGCATTAAGGAGCTTTCCGACGAACGAACGACACACGAACGTTGTTACGTTCTTTTTTCTTCTTCAGGATCGAATTAAATTCGACCGATATCGAGCATTAATGTTATCCTGGAACGTGCCGGACAGTCAAAATGAGTTATCGATAATTTGCTGACGCACGCTCAGTGCTATGACCTGAGAAATCAAAATGTTTCGGATGACATTGATTAAATCGGAATGACGACGGGATGCCCGTGAAATTTCCATGAGAGACAGTAATGGGCTACTGTTATCACGACGGTACGTATTGAATATTAATGCGGGAAATTATATTGAATGAAATTAGCACCGAAGATTGAATGAAACTGAGTGAAAATTTGAATGGTCTTGGACATTAAGATAATTGCATCGTGG